TCAGAATAAAAAAAAAAAGAAAAAAAAAAGTGTGCATATCAGAGACCTCCGCAAAGTGGGTTTTGTTTGTTATATATGTACATGGGATTCTGTTTGTTTTTGCGGGTTTGTTTGATAAGCATTGTTGATATTATTATTATTGTTATTGCTTTATTATCATTATGATTATTGTTATTATTATTATTATCATCCTTATTATTATTATCAAAATCATTATTATCATTGTTATTATTATTATCATCATTATTAATGATATTATTAGTAGTAGTATCTTTATTTTACTATTACTATTATATTATTATCATTATTATTATTATTATTATTATTATTATTATTATTATTATTATTATTATTATATATTATCCTTATTATTGAAACTATTGTTATTACTATCATTATTATTATTATTATTATCATTATTATTATTATTATCATTAATACCATTACTATCACTATCACTATCACCATCATCATCATCAAGATTATTTTTATTATTACTATTGTTATTACTATTATGACTACTATTATTATTACCGATGTCTTGTTTACAGCACACTAAAGAGGGCTGTTTGACATTCCTATCTATTTTTCAATTCCTTTTTATTCAGTTTCTCATTATGACCTTAATCATATTGTGATTAATGTCACGTAAACTTAAAAAAATAACAAATAAGTTTACCTGAAAGAGTTAGGGTAGGAAATGCCAGGGCAGTTATTACGAACATCAACATTCTGTAATATGGATGAAAAAACAACAACTTATAAATAATAGATTTAAAAATATATAGACAACGTATTGCGGGGGGGAGAGAGATTTGGAAAGTTTAGATGAAAAAAAGAGAGTAATAGATTTTTAAAATATAGACAACGTATTGGGAGGGAAAGAGATTTAGATGAAAAAAAGAGAAAAATTTAAAATCGCATTTTTGATAAACGAATTTTATTGCCCCTCATTTTCAAAATCTTTGTAAATATTAAATTCTAAAAAACATAGATAATAAAAAGCACATAGATGAACAAAAATAAATTCTAGAAAATCGTAGTTTTGATAAACGAGTTTTATCACAATCATCCCTTAACTGAAACCACGCGAGGTTAAACATTTTTCCTCAGATCCCGTATGGATTTTTATGCAATGTTTCGCTAACCTAAACTTTCATCTATAACATAAGCATGAAAACCTTAAATTCTCAACGTTAAATGCACTAAAATGACATGATAGCGTACATTAAGAGAAACATATCGATATTTATATTATAGAGGAAAGATTAAATTCACAAAACATTTTGATAAACGCATTTTTTCTTTCTACTCTTACTCTCTCTCTCTTCTCCCTTTTTTCTCTCTTCTCTTTCTCTCTCTCTCTCTCTCTTTCTCTCTTCTCTTCTCCCTTTCTCTCTCTCTCTCTCTTTTCTCTTTCTCTCTCTCTCCTTTCTCTCTCCCTCTCTTCTCTCTCTCTCTCTTTTCTTTCTCTCTCTCTCTCTCTCTCTCTCTCTCTCTCTCTCTCTCTCTCTCTCTCTCTCTCTCTCTCTCCCTCTCTCTCTCCCTCTCTCTCTCTCTCTCTCTCTCTCTTTTGACGCGCATATACCCTCATTTAACGAATGACTTTTCCGACTCACCTTGTGGAACGAGAGGCAGACGTGATATTGGAAAATAACCCTTATCGGCTGCAAATATTTTTCTCTCTCGTTTTGTTTAGCAAATGAAGGCCGATTTGCGTAATTTCGTATTTCACGTCTTTACGAATTCATATCTTTGGCGCCTTTTTCTGAACTTGAACACATTCTGAAAGAAGAGAAAAGAAAAAAAAAAAAAAAAAAAAAAAAAAAAAAAAAAAAAAAAAAAAAATAATATATATATATATATATTATATATATATTAGGCTAGATCAGTAGCAACCCGAGTAGGTGTCATGGCGTCCCACAGGGCATATTTTGATGATTGTTCAATGAAAATATAACCATTAAACTCCTTATTTCCATTTTTGAAAACAGAAAAAGACCAAAATGATCGACCCTATCCACTGAGCATCCGCAACTTTTGTGACGTCATCAAAATAAACCCCATGTGCTCTTTTCCAAAAATAGAAACAGAAGCCATGACACCTCCTCCTCGGGTTGCTCCTGATCTAGCCTTTCCCAATCATCCAACCGTCAACATTCCCAGATCACGGAGGAAAAGATTCCCGAATCAGGAATTCTGGAATAAAGATCAAGTGTTCCCGCGTGAACCCAACCAGTCGTTATTTTGTGATGAACAATTTGGTAGTCATTCCTGGTACTTGAAAAAAAAGACTAAAACGAGTCGAATATAACAATAACAAAAGCCTAATTGAAAAGAAAAAAAAAGAAAAGAAAACCTAAAACGAGTCGAATATAACAATAACAAAAGCCTAATTGAAAAGAAAAAAGAAAAGAAAACCTAAAACGAGTCGTATATAACAAAAACAAAAGCCTAATTGAAAAGAAAAAAGAAAAAAGAAAAACTAAAACGAGTCGAAGAAAACAATAACAAAAGCCTAATTGAACAGAAAAAAAGAAAAGAAAAACTAAAAAAGTCGAATATAACAAATAACAAAAGCCTAATTGAAAAGAAAAAAAAAGAAAAGAAAAACTAAAACGAGTCGAATATAACAATAACAAAAGCCTAATTGAAAAGAAAAGAAAAGAAAAACTAAAACGAGTCGAATATAACAGAACAAAAGCCTAATTGAAAAAAAAAAAAAAAGAAAGAAAAACTAAAACGAGTCGAATATAACAATAACAAAAGCCTAATTGAAAAGAAAAGAAAAACTAAAACGAGTCGAATATAACAATAACAAAAGCCTAATTGAAAAGAAAAAAGAAAAGAAAAGCTAAAACGAGTCGAATATAACAATAACAAAAGCCTAATTGAAAAGAAAAGAAAAACTAAAACGAGTCGAATATAACAATAACAAAAACCTAATTGAAAAGAAAAAAGAAAAAAAGAAAAGAAAAGCTAAAACGAGTCGAATATAACAATAACAAAAGCCTAATTGAAAAGAAAAAAAAAAAGAAAAGAAAAACTAAAACGAGTCGAATATAACAATAACAAAAACCTAATTGAAAAGAAAAAGAAAAAAGAAAAAAAACTAAAACGAGTCGAATATAACAATAAACAAAAGCTAATTGAAAAGAAAAAAAAAAAGAAAACTAAAACGAGTCGAATATAACAATAACAAAAGCCTAATTGAAAAGAAAAAAAAAGAAAAGAAAAACTAAAACGAGTCGAATATAACAATAACAAAAGCCTAATTGAAAAAGAAAAAAAAGAAAAGAAAAAACTAAAACGAGTCGAATATAACAATAACAAAAGCCTAATTGAAAGAAAAAAAAGAAAAGAAAAACTAAAACGAGTCGAATATAACAATAACAAAAGCCTAATTGAAAAGAAAAAAAAAAAAGAAAAAACTAAAACGAGTCGAATATAACAATAACAAAAGCCTAATTGAAAAGAAAAAAAAGAAAAAAAAAAAAACTAAAACGAGTCGAATATAACAATAACAAAAAGCCTAATTGAAAAGAAAAAAAAAAGAAAGAAAAACTAAAAACGAGTCGAATATAACAATAACAAAAACCTAATTGAAAAGAAAAAAGAAAAAAGAAAAGAAAACTAAAACGAGTCGAATATAATAACAAAAGCCTAATTGAAAAGAAAAAAAGAAAGAAAAACTAAAACGAGTCGAATATAACAATAACAAAAGCCTAATTGAAAAGAAAAGAAAAACTAAAACGAGTCGAATATAACAATAACAAAAGCCTAATTGAAAAGAAAAACTAAAACGAGTCGAATATAACAATAACAAAAGCCTAATTGAAAAGAAAAAAAAAAACTAAACTCGAATATAACAAAAACAAAACCTAATTGAAAAGAAAAAAAAGAAAAGAAAAACTAAAACGAGTCGAATATAACAATAACAAAAGCCTAATTGAAAAGAAAAAAAGAAAAACTAAAACGAGTCGAATATAACAATAACAAAAGCCTAATTGAAAAGAAAAGAAAAACTAAAACGAGTCGAATATAACAATAACAAAAGCCTAATTGAAAAGAAAAAAAAGAAAAGAAAAACTAAAACGAGTCGAAGATAACAATAACAAAAACCTAATTGAAAAGAAAAAAAGAAAAGAAAAGCTAAAACGAGTCGAATATAACAAGAAGCCTAATTGAACAGAAAAAAAAAAAAAAGAAAAACTAAAACGAGTCGAATATAACAATAACAAAAACCTAATTGAAAAGAAAAAAAAGAAAAGAAAAGCTAAAACGAGTCGAATATAACAATAACAAAAGCCTAATTGAAAGAAAAAAAAAAGAAAAGAAAAACTAAAACGAGTCGAATATAACAAGAACAAAAGCCTAATTGAAAAGAAAAAAAGAAAAGAAAAACTAAAACGAGTCGAATATAACAATAACAAAAGCCTAATTGAAAAGAAAAAAGAAAAGAAAAACTAAAACGAGTCGAATATAACAATAACAAAAGCCTAATTGAAAAGAAAAAAGAAAAGAAAAACTAAAACGAGTCGATAACAATAACAAAAGCCTAACTTCACTCTGAAGATAACCTAATGTGTTGTGCGAGGTTGCCAAGTTCTGTTATTTGCTGCATTTGGCTTTCAGTACATGGTGTTAGTTGACACGTTATTAACTAACTGAGGGAAATGGGTACAGTGGTGTCAAATACCGTAATTCAGTATTAACTTAATAATTGTACCCAAAAACATGTAACAATTATTTAATATTTGCCATAGTTTGCGACCAACTCCTGCTCTAGGCGTCTGTAGTGTAAAAAATATGTAAATGAATATATAAAAGATATGTAGATATATAAAAGTGAATATATATGTACAAATACATAAATAAGTATATAAAATGAATTCAAAAAAATACAAAACATAAATAACAACACGAAAGAAATATCGCCAAACAGCTGACTTTTTTTCGAATTAATTACAATTTTCTCGGACGGCTTTCTCTCTCTCTCT